AGATACCAGAGCAGATGAACTATACCCAAGTGGAATCAATAGCAAATATTTAATGTTCCAATGTCTTAGCCACACTGGTGTCTTAGCCACATCAGTGTCTCAGCCATGCCATCAGGATATACATTTGTACAATAAGCAGAATCAATAGCAAATATTTAATAACTCAATGTCTTAGCCACACTGGTGTCTTAGCCACATCAATGTCTTAGCCATGCCATTAGAATATATCTTTGTACAATTACATTCCAATGCTTTAATACCTGATAATTGGCTATAATATTGCAGCTAAGACTTTAAGGTAGAAAAGTGGTATTATAGGGCAATTCCAACCCTACATTTGCAAGGTCTTATGCCCTAGTGGTATAGTGCACCACGGCTACTTTCAGGCTGTGGGTTTGATTTCCACTTGTGCTACTTTTTGGGCTTTTCAGAAATTCTTGAGCGCGTCTTAGCCGCTCTTGGGTGCTTCTGAGTGGCTAGTCTGGTGTAACTTAATAAGTTCCCATGTCTGGGCTGCCAAACTGAAACTTTTGTTTCTACATATGTTCTTTCAGATGTCCTGAAATGTGCCACAAAGTCCCCTGAAACATCAACTCTTTGCTGTACTAAAATGTAACCATATTGAGTCATTTCAGGTTCATTTTAGGCTACACAAAATTTATCATTTTCCTGCATCACAAATGGCTACAAAAGTGGTAGCAAATCTATCATTTGAGGGCGCCAGAAAGCTATGGTTAAGTCCCTGAAAATGAAACAGTTCTGATGGCTTGACTGTGACATTTCAGGTGATCTGAAATCAGCTCATGTCCATAGTTTTGCTCGTCCAATGCTTGTAGCGCTGACAGCTTGTTTTTGTTTGTCATAAATGCAGGGCGTAGGCCTTGAGCAGCGACTGATCAGATATCTGAGCAATCTTATGTGAGGAAGGCACTACTCGCGTCAGTCGATATGGCAGTGGCATGAGGATGATGCTGGTGGTGGAGACTGTGACGAGATTGCAGCTGTCATCCACACGTGCTTGGTCATTAGGAAAAATAGAGCTCATGAGATGGTCAACAGCCAGGTCAAGGTATTTGAGACCGCAGTCTTATCTGCAAAGGCAGTCAACTTCAGTTGTACTCGATACAACCAGTGAAAAAATAGACTTACTGTCGTTCAGTGTACTCACAGGACTAGTCACCGGTATCAAGGCAGGAGTTGCTCCTTGACTGTCATTTGGCATGCTCTTCTCCTTCTCAGAGCTGGCGATCTGACAACATATACATGTTGAAGACAGTGGGCTGCCATGAGCACACACCTATGACGGCCTCAACAGTGCTTATTGTAAATGACCACCACGGCACTCTGGAGAAGCCCTTGCCCAACTGGGGCACCACAACGTGGCTTTTTTCAGCATTGGTTGTGACGATGAGGTGCATAGAATGACAAGGGTGGGGTGTCCTTGCTGCTAGCTGTATTGGCAATGCTGGCCATGTCGTTGTCCTTTCCCTTCCCCTCTCAGCATCAGCCAACAATCTATCCTGGACCTTGGCCTACTCTGCCTTGTCTACATTTCTCTGCACGTGCCCAGGATGTCAGCCAAGAGTTTGTAGCCACAAGCAGATATCACCACATACACCTCAACTGGCCCACTACAATCTTGGAGTGCTTCTAGTCCCAGGTCTATTGAGTTGACTGCTGTGGAGGGCATTCATGTGGCTGGGCCCTGATGGCACTACGGCCTTGTGCCAGAATTGGCATGTGCTGCAGAGAACCTTGCCTTTATCCCTTCACCTGTGGGGAGGCTTGCCCGCCATCTGGTTGCTGTACAGGATGGGAATGAAGTCTGTGAGGGTGCACGTAGTGATTTGACTGGCTCGGCTTGGCCCAGAAGCTAATGGCTTTAGCTTGGCTTCACCAGGCTTAGACTTGCAAAAACCCAAGCCAAGCCACAAGCCAGTGGCTTGCATTCTAATTAGGCAGGTGCTGTGGACTGACCTTGTCAACGGTTCCACAGCTACCACACATAGATACATGAGCATCTACAGCATGTAAATAGTTTCCATGTATAGTATAATATCTAAATACATACTTTGTAGTATAATGTAAATGCAGAAAGTCGATAAAGCTGTTCAGAAACACTAACTTAATACAAAAAAGAGGATGCACTGAATAAAATGCGCAAGGATGGTGCATGCGCAAGTGGCAGACAGCGGAGGCTGATACAATGCGGCGGGTACCTGTCATGGTCAGGAGTGTCAGGGGTGCCAGCGAGCTGCAGAGGGTGCAGCACGATGTTCCGGCGTGCGTGCCCTCGAGCGGCCACACCCAGATAAGCCATCTCATGCCTGGCAGCCTATATGAGGGCTTATCCACTGGTGTGCATGTCGTGCAGCACCTCGATGTGGGCAGCCTACAGGCGGCATTATGCTACCTAGTGGCGTTCGCCACTCAAAAGCATGCAAAGGCTGCGGCGGCCACTTGACAACCAATAGGAGTGAGTGGCCCAGGCAGCCTTGGATCATTTGCTCCCTTGTAATAGCTGACTTTTGTCTGGCACCCGCAAGGGTGGTCATCAGCGATGTCCCAGCATCGTCCGTCAGAATGCTGGTGACAACAGCTCTTGTTGATGTCTATTGGCCTGCTGCAAGTGCGACCTCAGAATGCGCCACACGTCCACACGACGCAGCAGAGGCGAGGCTGAGCGGCATGACACAGCTTGCGTGCAGTTGCAGTCAATAGTGCCCAGGGGAGAGGCGGTGGCCAAGCAGGCATTGGATGTCAGGCAGCTGGGGACCTCTGACACTTGTTCTGCCGTGTTAAACTGAAAGACATTGCCATTCCAGGCAGGTGCACAAAAATCGAGGCTCGCAACGTTACATGGCAGCTGGTTAAGTGGGGCAAGTGCTGGCATCTCCACTATGTTTCTTCATGGTGAGGCTCAGTTTCATTGACAATGTGTTAATCTATGTGTATTATAAGATGAATACAGCACAGAAGAACACAATATAATATTTTAGAAAATTATTCCTGATTGCTCTAACAGCAGCAGTAAATACGGTAAGTTTATTGTCTAAAGCCACAGCTTGCCAGCTTGGCTTGGCTGGCTTGAAGCCGAGCCAGTCAAATCACTAGGTGCACAAAGGACGTTTCTCCATGTACAGCCTACTGGTGCCATAGCACAGTAAGCCCAAAGTTCCATACACTAGCAATATGTCTCACAGTCTGTTTATGGAGTCAGGGATTGCTTAAAATGATGTATAGATACACAGTACAAAATACATTGATGATTATGTGAGAGGGGGAAAGTGCTGGGACACAGAATAAAGAGAGAGAACGCGGTATGCACGTTGACCCACAGCACATGCTGGGTTACGACAGCATCTAGATAAGCATCAGAAAACAGGACTTGGGTCCATAGTGCTCCAAAATGCTCCTGTAGCACTCTGTAGCATTGTGGTATGAAGGTTGCTATTGGACAAAAAAATGAATTTGGAGCTGGTGCAGTCTGTACGTACAGTTTGGCAGACAAAAGTGTGTGAACGTGAACAAACGAGCACGAACATGCATGAATGAGCATGAAAGCACACGAAAGTGGACAAAAGGAGGCGAACGTGTGTGATTGTGCACGAAAGTGAACGAAAGCACACAAATGTTGTTGTAGTATTTGAGGTGCAAGGCACACTGACCTGCTAGATGCGCATCAGCTACGCCACACCAAGACACCGACATGACGCGCTCACCACGTCATGCCATATTTGGATATAGCTTTCCTGTTTTAGATATGACGCGCGCAGAGCACTCTCGGCTCTGGCGCCGGTTCATTCCCACTGCATTTCCCTTCGTCTCAGCTTCCTCAGCATACTAAGTATTGGACTGAGTGTATTAGGAAGTAGATAACATATATAAGAAAACAATGTATCATCCTAGAAATTTACCGTTGATTACTCGTGATTCCCCCACCTGTGCAATTCAATTCACAACAGGTTATGAGCCCTGCGCTCTAATCTTCGGTCACCCACCTGCCAGATCCATCACAGATCAATTTCCACCCCTCAAGAGTCATACCCGAGACATCACCGACAACCCCTATCTAGGCCTTCCCACCCAAGATCACCGTCATGTCATCAATCAAGATTGAGGCCCTCAGAGGCGCAGAGAATTATTTCTCTTGGCAGATTCAGGTCCAGGATATTCTCACAGAGTTGAAGCTCATAGGATATCCTCTTGGCACCATCACACAGCCCACGGATGTGATGCTCATCACGTCCTGGACCGAGAAAGATCAATTGGCACTTAGTAATATCCAAATTCGGTGCGCCCCCATGGTCGTCTCGCATGTTGCTACCAGTAAGACAACAAAGGAAGCATGGGACGCTCTCACAAGCACATACGTGAACTCAGGCACGATATCAGAGATTACCGTGTTGAGAAAACTACACAAGATAAGTTTTGTGAAAGGGGCAGATGTCGATGTGGAGATCAGACAGATGAAACAGTTGTATGCGCAGAGCATGGAAATGGGAGGTATAATGACAAATGTCCAGTTTGGTCAAGTCATCCTTACTGCACTTCCTGCTTCATGGAACTCATTTGTCAGTTCTATTCCGAGCCTATCTACCTCTGCCAGCATCGTTGGCTGCATCATTCAGCAGCAAGAGCGCCTGATCGAGCAACAGGCAGAAGCCACTTCCACAGCACTCATTGCCAAGCCCATGCGGAAATCAAAGTTCTGCAAGGGGATCTTCTGTCACAACTGCACCAAAGAAGGTCACATCAAGGCTGAATGCCAATCAGCCAAGGCAGAGACTTCTGATGAGAAGTCTGCTGCATCACACACCCACATGGCCGAACTCACAGACACATCCGACTCGTACGCTTTCACATCAGGCGGAAGCGCGTTCACCTTCACGGAGAAGGGTGAAACATGGCTCAGAGACATCGCTGCCAAGCATCACATTGTGCGTGACCGCACCACTTTCGTGACTTACATCGAAACACCAGGCAGCACCATTTCGGGTGTTGGCGGCGCTTGTGCTGCATCGGGCCGAGGTGATGTTCGAGTCATGTTCATCACTAAGGCCGGGACTGTCCCTGTCATATTGAAGGACGTTCTGCACATGCCGTCCATGCAATATAATTTGCTGTCACTGGGTCGCATGACCAGCGCAAAAATTAAATTCATTGGTGAGGGGGACGGACTGTCCCTAGTGGACAGTACCTGAATCATTGGTACCAGGTGGAAGGTTAGTGATTAGCCATATCACATGGATCTAACAATTCACCGCCTGGCATTGTCCTCCATGACTTCTGAGTCACAGGCACTCGCGGTGCGCAACACTCGTACCTGGTACGAGTGGCACTGCACTTTAAATTACATCAATCAAGGCCAGCTGCAAGAGATGCAGAGACTGGGCCTGATTGATGGGACAGTGGTTGATGCCGCGTCCAACCTCGACTTCGATTGCGAGATCTGCATCCAGGCAGAGCACTCGCACTCTCCATCCCTTCCCTTCATCGATAATCCCTCTATGCTGGAGGGGGAGAATTTTATTAAAACTCCCGCTGTCACTGAGACGGCTCTACAAACTCAGACACTGGCGAAACCATTCAAAAAACCTCCTATCGCACCAGCACCTGTTCGCACATCAGCCCGCGCTACAAAGCACACCGATCACCGGTGACTTCATAAGACCGGCAGATCGATTGCTGCCAATCTGCCAGTCGTGCACCTCTGCACTGCCATCACCGTCTCCGGCACCCTTCCCAACACCTCCACTACCATCCAGGTGTTCTAATACATCTCACACCCTTCGCTCACTCATTGGACTGCTGTCCAGCACATCCTCTATCACCTTGAGGGCACCACTACCCACGGCCTCGCCTATGATCCTGGCATCAAGGGTCTGATCGGGTACTTAGATGCCAATCAGGCCCAGCCCCTTTGTTTCATCTCCATCGACATTTCTGTCACCCACCACACCTCCGAAAACAATGCTGCCGATATGTTCACCAAGGTGCTCGCCCACCCCACTCACACCTGGCAGCTTGCCCTCGTGAACATGTCTGCTCATTGAGGGGGAGTGTTGTAGTATTTGAGGTGCGAGGCACACTGACCTGCCAGATGCGCATCAGCCGCGCCACACCAAGACACCGACATGACGCGCTCACCACGTCATGCCATATTTGGATATGGCTTTCCTGTTTTAGATATGACGCGCGCAGAGCACTCTCGGCTCTGGCGCCGGTTCATTCCCACTGCATTTCCCTCCGTCTCAGCTTCCTCAGCATACTAAGTATTGGACTGAGTATATTAGGAAGTAGATAACATATATAAGAACACGATGTATTATTCTAGAAATTTACTGTTGATTACTCGTGATTCCCCCGCCTGCACAATTCAATTCACAACAAACATACACGATCCTGCATGCCGCTGAACTTTGGTTTTCATTATGCCCTGTTTTGAGATTGGCAATGGCGCTAATGTGTGCACGTTCGTGCGTGTTCGTGCATGTTCATTCGCGTTTGTGCATTCATTTTATTGTTCAGTTTGGTGTAAGTTAGCAATTGGCTTTCATTTTCGTAATTATGCATCTCATTTGAATTGTCAAGTGCACGAAAGTGCGCAAAAGTGCGAGAAGGTGCACAAAGGTGCACAAAGATAAACACCTAGCTAAAATGAACCAGTGACAAAATGAATACGTAGCTCATCAGATGTACACTTTTGCACGCAAAAGTGCACGATGGCGCATGTTAGTGACCAAATGCACATCATCACGCACGAACATGCATGCAAAATCCTAGACGCACATCGAAAACAAAAATTTGCAGCCAGTGCGAAGGTGAGAATTTGTTTTTGTCCAATAACACCCTTGATATTGTGGACCTAAGTCTTTTTTCCTAATGTAATAGGGCAATCATCTCAAGCGCATCTCAATACTTGATCTCACCTCACGAACCTATCAGGATCCCACAATCTCATCGTGAGACCCTCACAGCACTGATCTTAATGCAATCTTGAGGTGCTTGCCTCATGAGGCTCCTGGGAAATTTGCGACAATTAATCGCGGCAGCAAGGATCCAAGCGGACACTGCCATGTTGTCCATGCAGTTTGACTGCCGGACATCGCGAATATAGCTGAAAGAGCCACAGCAGACATTGCTTGCACTGTCAACTCTCACTGGGGGTCCACCTAACCATGTGATGTCGCTGAGTAGGACAGTCTCTAGATAGGTGATATCCGCCAATACACAGAGCAGGATTCAGAATGACAGGAATTTGCAGTGGTGTAAGTTTAGATATGTGAGATTCTGCAATGAGCTCTTCAGAGCTGCATTATGCAACACATGTCCAGGGAGGCCATCGCAATCATGATGCATGACGGTGCAGCACAGTACCGGTAAAAGGCGAAGGAGTGTGATCCAGAGTGGACAGTCGGAGTAGTGCTTGATATCAAACCACAGCATAGTAATGTGTCTTGCAAGCCAGACTGGTAGCGGGGATTGCAGTATACCATAGAGCATGCAGCAGTCCTCCTCACTCCTTAGGCCGAGTTCAGTGAAAAGATGAGGGTGAAAGTGTCAGGACCAGGCCTTCGAGACCAAGGAGAGCTTCATCGGCAAAAAGGGACAGAGATTATATTGCATTAAAATGCAATATAATGCGATCTGGTCCGTTATCTTGCATTATAAACTCAAAAATCACTAAAAATCGCATTATAACGCATTATAAATGCCCGACGGTGCATTATAATGCATTATATTTGACTGCCCAATGTGCCGATGTTTGATACTACATTTATGTCATTGGTTATCTTCACCAAGTCGTGTGTGTAGTCGCACAGCTCAACAGGGAGTCGCTTCCAGGACTCAGACGATTAGATCACATAGAAAACTTTGTGACACTTTCCTGCCAAACCACAGACCGCGGATTCATTGCGATCCATAATATCTTCCAATCAGATGTAGACGGCGTGTATTTGATGCATTTCCAAACAGGAAAACCGGGCCGCAAGAACAAACACAATACTGTCCCAGGCTGAGGCTGAGGCTGACTAAGCCACGCCGACAAATTCAGAAAAGGAAACAAGACGACGGAAGTACCGTACGCGACCAGAAAACGACCAGTAACGTCGACACAGTATATGGCGGGCACCGCGAGCAACAACTATGGAGCCTCGACGGGGCCGCTCACCGCAGTGCGTAAGAACGGAAACCTGGGTCCCGGAAGCTGATTGTAGTGCCGTTTACGCAGTATTGTCCGGAACGCCGATGACTTTGGCGGAGCCGAAGGCGGGAGACGGGTGAACCCGTATGACCTTCCAGCCGGTCTGCTCCATGAGCTCTTTCACCTGCTTCGGCGTGCGCTCTTTCCCATTGAAGATTGTCATCATCTATTTCTTGCATCAGTATGATGGGCGGTCTGCGATGGAAGAGCAAAAGACGTACCTGCACGTCCGCGTGGTACAGAAGGGTCGCGGAATGCCCCAGGTTCGGAAGCAGAGGTTTAGGATGGACTGGATGCTCGACGCCTGCGATACCCTCCAGGCTGTTATCTTCGCATGCATACGGGAGGAGGCTATCAACAATCAGGAGGCGAGTATCTGGCGCAGCTGCATCCCGAAGGTGGCGCAAGATCCGAATACAGTAGTCGTCGGACCAGTCATGGAGGACGGTATGCAAAAGGAAGACCGAGGCATTCTTGACCGGCTGAGGAGTAAAGAAATCGTGTGCTGCACCATGAATAAGTCCCGGTGGTCATCGCTGTACGTTGGGTTACTCGCCTTGGATGATGACCTTCTGAGACTTCACGGCGCCGGGTAATTGGCCATCCCAGAACTGGAAAGGCGGTAAGTCAGCTAGTAATTAATGATTGTGTAGATAGAATACATACTTCAACAGCGTCCTTCACGATTTGTTCGCGATCCTGAACCACGAAGCGTAGATGTGAAAAGTTCTGGGCAAGTCTCATGGACTGGGAACCAACTCCGCCGCCGACATCCACAACGACCGCATCTTGTTTCAGACTCCTCCAGTCGAAGCCTAATCATACAGTCATGATCTCAATCAGAATGCCTTATGCAAGGTACGTACCCTCGAGGATCGCATTCCGAGGACCCGCCTGCTTGGCACCCTCCAATGCAATGCTAAAGCGCTGAAGGCGATGCTTGTTATCCTTCAGCTCATACCACTCCCATGCGTCCAGCTTTGTATTGAAGGCGAGACTCAATGCGGTCTCATTTGGCTCCTGCGACTTGGCAATCTTGAGATCCAAGAGCATATCTCGTAGATATCCTCCTGCCTTCAAACCCTCATCCGTGCTGACAACACTGTTAATCCCATGTCGTCAATCGACACTCGGGCAAGCAACTCACCCGTACTCTACACCTGCAACTTGACCAAGAGTGCCAATATGCTTTGCCTCTGGGCTTGGATAGCTGCATTAGCCCGCGTCTATTGAGCAAGTAGAAATGGTATACTTGGCGAGAATATCCTTGACAGACTTCCCGGTGTCCAGGCAGGACGAGATGCGGTTGTGCGTGAAGACGTCAGGCGCGACTTCGACAAAGATATGGTTAGTGGCGAGTACACGGAGGACACGTGCTGGAACAGCCGTCAGACACAAGTTTCGTAGGAGGGATGTGAGGGCGTGTACCAAGCTTTGACGGGTCGATATTGCTCGCCAGAGCAATCTCATTTACATGTGCTCCCTGTGACGCGGCACCATGAGCTGATAGTTTGACTGCACCACGGAAGCGCGACAAACCTTGGGACCGGCTTCTCTCAAGGCCTCAGCCACATTAGCCGCTGCTACAGCGCCTAGCGAGGCGGACAGGGTGTGCTACAAGAAGGTAGTTCGCGAGGCTAGTCTTCCTGGAACTTGTTTGTCATACCTGTGTTGACACGGCTGTGATGGAAAGTATTGGCGAGCGGACGGAGGTGATAAGTTGGTAGGCAGCGGAAATAATAAGAGCGCACGCCCTGTCGACCCCTGGCTGCATGCGTGCTGCCTCAGACTCTAGAGATATCGGCGTGTGAGGCGAAGGGAACTCCATGTTCTTCGATGCCAGTGAGGCCTCGATGGAATCAATGGAGTCCTGGATAATCTTGGACAGAGCCTTCAGCTCCGATAGAGTATTAGTAGTACTAGTGCTGGTTGTTAAGCCAGATATTACGAGCAAGAGTACCACCTGCGTACCCGGTACCCATTGCTCTCGACGCTTTGCTAGGACTGGAGCGGACCTTGGGGCGGGATGAGAGCGAGAGAGGTTTACGGGGCGGGATGAGAGCGAGAGGCCTTGGGACCTATGCTGGTGAGCGAGGGCTAAAAAGGCGTGAGGATTCAGGGGGTCACTGGCACTCTTATCAAGATTATGAGCACGAGATACCTTGCCAAAACCCCGACGTCGATTAGCTGAAGTCCAGTAAGCGAATAACAAGCTAGCAGCCCCACTTGCTCTGTGCACAGAAGACGAGTATGACAGGGTGTGAGAACGAACTGTTGCGGCGAAGGTCCACCGCCAGATGGAAATTGCGCTGCTATCTTCCTCTGTTCGGGACTCCTAGTAGTGCTGATTCATGGGGTGACCGCGCTGTGATAGGAAATACATGATTTTGCTCATAGCGTGGCAGATTGCGAGGGCAGCATGCATCCGCCGCCGCACGGTGGCAGACAACAGGGCCGACAATGTTATTATACCACAGCTACTGGCCCCTGCGGAAGTCAAGCACCATGTCAGTCGCCGAGTAGGCCTTTCACGGTCACTGATGGAAGCATACCGTAACTCGTGTCCACAGTCCACGTCCATGTGAAAGGGGATAAATATAGGCTGCCTGGTGCTTACTCGTGAGCTTCCACGCTTTACTTACGTTTACTTACTGCAACTTATATAATAGACGCCAAATTAAGGAACGGGGAACTTATGCCCTTTAAGTACTCAAACTCCAGGCGCCAGAATCGTGCACGCGACTCTTCTGCTCCCAACCAGTACACTCGACAGTCAAAGTATGGCATGTGAGGTTGACACCACACCCTGATAGAGAAACGAGAGATTGCTGCTCGTCATCCGGCATTGGTCATAGGAACAAGCGATACCATGGTCGTATCTTCGGCTTCAGCGGCATCCTGCTGCCAGTGACCACCCAACGCCGAACCTACCGACGAGTCTTTGACGGCATGTTCCAACAGCTTTCTCATCCTGCATCTTGCGCCCGAGCGACGAGCATCTTCTTTAATTCAATCTTCCTTGAATCTAGGCATTGTCTTCTGCAGAATGGTTGCAAACGAAGGACAAAATGATTCAACAAGAAACCACGTTGACGGACAGCCTAAAGTGGGCGACGTGAGTCACAACGACGAGAGCCACTCCGACGGCAGTGGCAGAGAACCCGCCGGCGAGGCAGGTTGTATGCAGGCTGCGGTCGAGACGGCGGTCAGCGAGCGGGAGGTCAGTGGCCACCTGGTAAGTTCAAACTTGTCGTCTGTACCTCGGCTACGAGCATATATCTCCAGATCGTGCCCCTGTGCATCTGACCACTTCGTTCGTGCTGTTCGACCCGTGTTTATACTGGAGACGAGGGACAATTACGCCGTCAAGCCGATGAAGGAGCTGGTTCTCTACCTGAAACCCTGTGAGAGCAGAAAAGGGGGGCATCGTAGGACCCATGACAATTGGTGAGAAGGCTTGAGGACAGATTTTGCCGATTTTGGCCTTTAGGTACGGACAAAATTTGCGCGACGAGCCCAAAATAGTACGGATTTTCCTCCCGGTCCGGCCTGACGACCGGACTTTGGTACGGACACTGACTCAGGCCTATCGGTTTCCTCGCCTATACCATGCCTGTTATTCATTCGTGTATAGTATACTCATACGTACTACACAAATATACACTACTCTTCATAAATATCACCGTTCCCAGCCCCCTCGGTCGTCACCGCAGCCGCCACCGCCACCGCCGCCCGCTTCCCTCCACGCTTTCGCGCAACATCGAGCAGTTTCATGGCAGCCTGAACTCTTGAACGAGAGGTAGGACAGCTGAGCTTGTAGAAGATATGGTAGGCTGTGTCATTTAGCTGTAGCATTCTCCAATCTCGCGAGAAGGTTAGTATGTCGCCGGGCAGCATGCATAAGAAATGGTCCGAAGGCGCATGCCACGGTAAGAATGGTAAGCTTTGCAGTGCCATGACACGCTGGTGGATCACGCGAAAGCGGTTAATGTTGAGGGTTTGCTCATGAACTTGAACCGCAACGTATGACGCCTGTCCAATGGAGGCGACGGTCTCCTGCCAAGCGTGAACGCCCGGGCCAGCCTTGCCGCCCGACCGACAATAAACAGTAGCACGGCGGGAGGGACGTCGCCCCTATCCAGTCGGATGGATCCCACCGTACGCTGTCGGCAGAGGGGTCATGGTCAGAGTCGACGTCTATGGGAGCTGCATCGGGGGTCATTGTCGCGGCACAAAGAGGTGCAGCCAGGGGTTTGTTGCACCAACAGCGGAAGCAGACTTGGTCTGCGCGCTGCCACCGCCGCCAGCCGGTGTTCGGCAGGTTGACTTGTCAATACAGCTGGGTCATACTCTAGAGGCTATGTACAGATGCATTAATTATCTTTGGCCTTCAAAATATCTTCTTCATGCTCTCGGTCTTTGTCTCTATCGTCCTTAATTCCCAATCTAAGGCGTACATTATAGAGGCTGATGGAGAAGCAGGGCTGAACCCACGATATGCACGAGATTGTGATAAATCCACTCAATTTAGGTAGTATTGGATCTAAAGCTGGGTATTTAACCCGGAAGGACACCAACACTTGTCCAGACTACCGGGTATGGATTGTCCTCAGACATTAGTCAGTTTTTGTTGGCCGGTATGGACGATTCCTCAGAGCTCCCGGCCTATCGGCCGGGTTTGGGTACGGATTTTCCCTCCGCGTGAGGGGTCCCGATGGCCATTTTGGGTACGGATTGTCCTCAGGCCCTCCCACCAATTGTCATGGGTCCTGGCATCGTACATTTCTACTTGGCCTATAATGTTTCAAATATTGATTGGCTATCATCTAAACCCGTTCCGACGGTTTGACATGGCCGGTATGGTGAAGGAACACTTCTTAACTCTTCATACCGGTTCCGTGCCACCACTTATCCAGCAGCTCCCCTCGCCTCTATGATGAGCTCAAAGAACGACGCGTCCGTTCCCGAAGGCTAATCGCGCTCTCAGTCTTCTGAAAAGCACAGCTCGCCAAATTACCTCTCTGGCGTCGTCGTCGCCTCATGCGGCGATGGCACCGTGCTCAGGCCACTTGGCTCCTGACTGTTCCGGCGCATCGTCCTTCATACTCCATTTGTTCCGCTCTTTCGTCAATCTTAACTTCTGAACGAACCAATTAGGCTGCCATGGACAATGCTATCGACTCCAGCCTCCGCATGTGCCTCACTTGTACCACACGCTATCCAACCGTGCTCGAGCTGTTAACGGCTACCGCACGATCGAGGGAGCTGAGACGAACGGGCTCTTTGTAGGGACCTCGAGAAGGGTGGCCAAGAAGCACTCGAGTTTGGACATGTCGGCGGCGTCGCGAACAGCAAGTGTACGAAGGATGGGAAATTGCGTGTTGCATGACTGGATGATTCTGCATGCCGCGATGCCCATATTCGCCATGTGCCTACCCGACACTACAGAAGTCGTGTGCCTACCCGCCGCTCCATCCGCGCAGCAGTGTAAGCCGACTACAGATGCTCACAGCCCATGTGCAAGTGCGATAGGCGCAGATCATCTTTCACTCTGCCGACCCCACAGCGTTAGTCCACTTCGCTCAGGCTAGAGTTTTTGTCCGGCCATTGGAAGTATGGTCTATATGCCATGTTTTAAAATTCAGTAGTGCCCGCGTTTGTCGTAGTCGAGCGTAAAATTTATGGAAGTCCGGTGCAATGCGCTCCGGTGGTTACTATCTGCGTGCAAAGAATAAGACGAGACGGCGCAACTGATGTAGAGCACATTTATAAGACAACTTGTGACCGGATGCATGAAGCATCATCTACCAGTGAGAGCTGCTCCCTAGACGCAGCCGTCTACCGCTGTTACATGCGCTGGACTGGCGGAAGGAGGGGCGCTGACATTCCAAATGGGGCGAAGGGCGGCGCGCTCAAGTGTCCGCGTGAACACGGCGGGGGGAGGCGCTTGACGTCCCGTAGACTGCCGGATGGCGGCAAGCCTCGTCCTCATGTCC